TCTCTCTCTCTCTCTCTCTCTCTCTCTCTCTCTCTCTCTCTCTCTCTCTCCCCTCCCTCTCCCCACACTCTATCATTTTCCCTTCTTTTCCTCGTGACACACGGGATGACCTATAAATTTTGAATTACCAAAGGTCGTAGAAACGCATCATGCCTCTACGACTTTCGGTCGTTGCGTCGGACATTAGATCAGTCTCTATGCAGTCGACAACCGCTGTCCGATTGTAGCAAATATAAAATTAGATTCATGCTCGATCCTATTTCGAACCTTTACGCGTCTGTCCGAGTTCCTGTCCCTTCTTTTCCTGCCGCCGACGAGACATTTTTATTTATCTCGTGTTAACCCTTGCCAAGCACGTATTTCGGTGCTTCTCTTTAAGCACGTCATACGGTTGTTTCTTGCTAACGATCCGGGGAAAGAGGGGGAAGGGGCAACGAGATGCTCGGAACAAAGATGATTCTGCATAAACCTTCGTTGGCGAATCGCTCAAGGTATTAGCTCAACGAGACGAAAGATGATATCACGGCTATATTCAAGCGTCGGAAATCCGCGCTGAGTGTGAAACATTGATCTATTTTAATCGAAAAGGAATTTTCGTTCGACGCTCGAGGATCGTCGGGACTTTGTAAGTTGCGATAATTTAGGAACTTTCTGCCTTGCCCTCCTTTTCTTACGATCGATATGTGAAACGAACCTTTATCTATCGCGACATGCGTCTCCTCGTGCTTTACGAATCAGTTTGTTCGCTTATAAAATCACGCCTGATAATATCACGATGTAACAACGATGAGTATTAATCGGATTTCGTACTGACGTAAACGCTCGTTAATGGTAATCTATATATATGTCCGCGATGTTAATAATATATCTGCATTGATCTTCCCTAACATATGCTAATACCGTATATACGATTCTATATCGAAACAGCGATCTCCCTCTCTCTCTCTCTCTCTCTCTCTTTCTTCCTCCGCAGGAGCAATCCGAATGGCGTCGTTCCAGATCACCGAAGGTGTATTATCGTCCCATCAACGCGGAAACGTCGAAATAGCGAGTAACGGCGCGGAACAGAACGTACGAGCGCGTGTAAAATTTCGTGAAATTCCATTGTCAATTTCATAATTAGCGATGTTGGCGTTAGTAACGTTAGCAGCTGATATAAATGTAATAGCGCCGCCTGACGTCACGTTTGTAACAACAGGCAGTGCAAACATCTCATGACACAGCGATGTAATCACACGTTTACGTGCGCTCTCTCATCAACTGTAAGCGTTTAATAACGACTGCAATTTGATAAACACCCCGAAATTAAATTGAATCTATTAAATACATTTTCGTTTCATTACGAGAGTACGAAACATGAGTCGTAACGCGATACACGCCACTCTGTACGCGCCCAAAACTAATACACAACGCTCAGTGAATTACATGAACCGTCAGAAATATTTCCACGCGAGATATGAAAAAGAAGAAAAAGAGGAAAAAATGGAAAAAATATGTAGTCGCCGACAAGAGTCTCGCTACCGTGACATGACGTTATCGATTGTATACTCTTATTCAAACTCTCGCGTAGTTTCGGTATGATCACATGTAAAACAGCACAAATCGTGACCTGTTAAATGATCCGTGCGGCCTGTATGAGCGCACGGTTCACGCGACAAAACTTTTGCAATTGGAACAAACGCGGAATGCCGAAACTCTCGTGCGTCCTAAAACTCATCGACGAAAAACAAAGTGCGACAACGGCTTTTTGCGGTTGGCCGCAGCAGAACGGGCGAGCGCTTAGTGCGTTTTGTAAAAAGTGAACGCCGTAACGTCGCAGTTCGCTCGCTCCCCCCTCCTCCCCCGCTTCAGTGTTCGCCTCTTAAAGTAGACATCACCTTATTTATATTATATGCATTTACGGCGGGTACTAATTTTATCATCTGCGAGAGAATAGACCGTTCCTGTGTGCGGCGGCACGGAGAGGTGCCGGCATATACATTTGATTGTCCGGAATCGTATCGACGTGCGGAAGTCATATCGATGGTACACTACGAGAATCCGTATTACCGAGCACGTCAGAATAGCTAACAGCGATTATCTTTAATCGTTTCCTAACCAGAGAAATACGGAACACCTAATTTCGCTCGGTATTGCCCGAAGCACCATTCGATCCGACGCATCTTCGTCGTCGCTCTTAATTCACTTGTAAAAGTGGAATGAAGTTATCAGACATTATTCTCATTAACGAACCGAGAGAAACGGCATCGTCTTTGTGCTTAAACATTATGCTTAAACTCATCGGGAAGCAAGATTATTCGAGGAACTCTCAAGATCAAGGAAATAGCTCGTTGATACACGTTATATTACATATGAAGAGAAAGATATATTGTCTTTCTTAGCCGAATTTTCTCTCTTACGTATAATTTCGTGAGGATTCTTCTGACATCGAAAAGAAAGCACTCCAAGCGCAATATTATTTCTCTTCATTAAAAAAGAGGTGCTTTTTTTCAGTAAAAGTATTCACGTTCATAGAATTACAATGAATGCTACGCACGTATGGCTTTTTTTATTACAAAATTATTGTAATTACTTGAATATATTGTATTAGGTGTACAACTTTGCTTCCGCCGTTTTCCTATAAATGGCTTTAGCGGTAGGTGGTGGTCGAAATAAATAGATCATAGACGTCATACAATAAACTTGGGCATCTGTCAACATAACTCCATAGAGACATTAGTCGATTTGTGTCTGCATCATAAAGTTATTCTCGATTGAAAATGTCAGTTTACGAGCCAAATTCTCGTCATTTGCGGGAGGTTTTAATTTTCTGATTCAATATGAAGAAATCTGCGGCTGAGGCTCATCGAATACTCTCAAATACTTATGGTGAGGCCGCTATTAGTGAAAGAACGTGTCGTGAGTGGTTTCAACGCTTTAAGAACGGTGATTTTGACGTCGAAGACCGGCATAGCGGTGGAAGAGAGAAGGTTTTCGAAGATGCAGAATTGGAGGCATTACTTGATCAAGACTCGTGTCAAAATCAAGAAGAATTGGCACGATCATTGGGAGTGACTCAACAAGCCATTTCAAAATGCCTCAAAGCCATGGGAATGATTCAGAAGCAAGGAAATTGGGTGTCGTACGAATTGAAGCCGAGAGATGTTGAACGGCGTTTGCTTGTGAACAGCTGCTTGAAAGACAAAGACGGAAGGGATTTCTGCATCGCATTGTGACTGGAAACGAAAAATAGGTTCATTGCGATAACCCCAAGCGCAGAAAATCATGGGGAGTTCCCGGCCATGCTTCCACGTCGACGGCCAAGCCGAATATTCACGGCTCCAAGGTCATGCTCTGTATTTGGTGGGACCAGCTCGGCGTAGTGTATTATGAGCTGTTAAAACCGACTGAAACAATCACAGGCGATCGGTATCGAACGCAATTGATGCGTTTGAGCCGAGCATTGAAAGACAAACGGCCGCAATACAACGAGAGACACGATAAAGTGATTTTGCAGCATGACAATGCTCGACCCCATGTTGCGAAAGTGGTCAAGACATACTTGGAAACGTTGAAATGGGAAGTCCTACCCCACCCGCCGTATTCTCCAGACGTTGCTCCCTCTGACTATCACTTGTTTCGATCAATGGCACACGGCCTGGCTGATCAGTACTTCCGGTCTTATGAAGAAGTAAAAAATTGGATCGATTCGTGGATCGCCTCAAAAGATGACTAGTCTTC